GTATTCTCACAGTCTTGCAAAGCCCTTGCACGGTGCACGGATTGCACGGTTTGCCAAGCTGTCCCATAGGAAGACCGTTTTTTTCGTGCAATCCATACACCGTGCAATGGCTTTGCAAGACTCCGACAATATCCTTAATTGAAAAAAAAAATGGATGTAAATAGCAACGCTTTTTGTTATATTAAAGTGGTGTTCCCAAAATTAAGTGAAGCTAAAATAAAAGGAGATATTAATTTTTTATTCTCTCATCTATTACTTCTTCATCGGTTTTATCTCTTTTTATAAATTTTAGGTATTTTCATAGCATCTCATATTCGTAAAATTATGAGCGAAGTGAGCTTTTTTGAACAAGCTATGCAATAAAACTTTAAAAATTTTCCGGTGCAAATGTTAAAGTTTGATGAATTTTCATAATTTTTGAACGAAGTTTGAAATGAGGATTTATGTAGCGATGGTTAGGTAAGGTGCTAGACTTAAAAAAAAATATAAACATTAAATAAACAAAAGAAAAATAGCCAAAACTAGTCAACCTGTCACTTGACTTAGTCAGCTGACCACAAGTGTACGTTCAAATTTAAGAGGCTGAAGAGTAGGTACAATTCAACCTAGTTTAACATCACTATTTCTCACCACATATTCGTTTCTTCCTCTTCTTCTTCAAAATTATTCTTTACTCTCTCATTCTCTTACTAATGCGACGTCACAACCAGTTGCTCTCAGCTCGATTGGCGCAATCTTGTATTCTATCATTCTTGAGTTTTATCGATTATTTTTGCGAAGAAGAGGAGAAATGTCAAATGTAAAAGTAAACAAAACGGGGAAACGGTGTTTTTCGGCCTATAAGCCGAATGGTATTGCAAAATTAACACATTTTTTCAAATTGAGAAAACAACACTTTAACTATTTCCAAAAATCTCCAGTTCTTTGTATAGCTTATTTGTAGACCAAAATATATATTTTTCCGCCTGCACAATATTTTTTTTTAATGGACGGTCTAATGTTTCTCCACATTTTAGGTCGCCGTAAGCAATGGATGCATTTATATTTTAGGTAGTGAAATGGCTCTAAGTTGCAAAACAGTTGAATGCTATGACCCTCAAAATAACAAATGGACTAAGGTTGGTTGATTTAAAAAGTTTCCCAAATTTCGAAAACCATCGCATATTTTTGAATGTTACTTTTCGTAGATCTGCGCTTTGAGAGATGGACGTTACGGTATAGGATGTGTTTCTACGGATGACCGACTGTGGGCTGTGGGAGGTATTCCTTCAAATTCCGTGTCAGTATACAATTCGGAACGTGATGAATGGATCGAAAAGAAACCAATACCCAAAAATGGTCGATACTCTTGTTATGTTGTGGCTAAAACGTTATTTGAAAGTGAATAAGTGATGCAATGTTTAATAAGAAGATACTTACTATGTACTCTTCAGAGATGAATCTATTTGGTTGAGGCAGTTTTTGATATTCTATGGTCCTCTGCAATAATGACACAACTCAAAATTCAAAAAATAAAATCCCTTACTACCGTTAAGTGCTTCATGTATCTAATCCTTGTCTAACCCATGTCCAATCCTTTCTAAAGTATGTAACAATGACTACTAAAGTAAGTAGTAAGGATTAGGAATGGATAAGACAAGGATGAGAGACGTGAGGCAATTAACAGTAGTAAAGGCTTTACTTTTCTGAAGTTTGAATTGTGTCGTTATTGTAGAGGACCATCGATATGTATGCCCATATTTAAAAAACAAATTTAATTTTAATGGATTTTGCAACTGTTATTTTTGTTTGTGTAATGGATTTTCGTGCTACAGTTAGAAGTAAAAATTTAATACAATGGCACTTTTTGGTCTTTTCTTCATTTAAAATTTATTATTATTAAATATGTAAAGAAAAACTTAAGGAAAGGTGTAGGACTATCGAAAAATCCAAGCATAAATAATTGTTGGTGTTTTACTTGGTGCATATTTTATACCCCTATTCAGGGCTATCACTGAATCGATCATAGAAAATCTACGAATTCGAATGCCTGCAACGAATACGAAAAAATTTCTACCACTGAATCTGAGTGAACTCGAAAATATCGTTGCCAGCTTCGAATGCTGAACTTTGATGATTCTAAATCAGCTGGCGCAAAGGAAACAATAGATACATATACATATGTATGTATCAGGGGTTGGCATGCGGTGCACCGCAATTATTGCATACTCAATCGGTACTCCTCTTTTGTATGACTGAGCACCGCATTCATCCACCGCTTTTAATGTGAGCATACCTAAAGTCACAAAAATAGCATCGCATGCCATTCTCTGATATGTATGTCATTTTGCTCACGCTGTCACAAAAGTCGCAATGGCAAAGTGAACAAAAGACTAAAGTGCCATTCGAGAGATATGAGTGCAGCGGAACTTTTTTTTTCTTTTTTTTTATGTTTTTTTCTATTTTTCTTTATTTAATGATTTTCTTTTTTAATTAAATTTTTTTAGCTTTAGATTTTATTATTTTAAAAAGAAAATTTTTTTTATCTTAAATTCATTTATTTTTAAAGATATTACAGTATTTAGGTTTAATTCCTAAAAAATTTTTGTTAAACTTATATTTCCTCGTTTCATAAAAAAAAATTATTTCATTAATTGCGTCTGGAAAATCAATTTACATGTGTATAGCGGGGCAACGAATAACTGTTACACCGTCTTTTTAACCGACTTCACAAAAAGGAGAAAGTTATCAGTTCATCGGAATATTTTTTTTTTTTTATGTAGATATGTTACCGCATAACTTTAGACCACGTTAACCGATTTCGATAATGTTCGGTTTTTTTTGGCTTAAAAATTACTTGTTTAAATAGAAGGGTCTTTATACATTTTGCGAAGAAAGTATTTTATTGCTAATTTTTACTAATTTTACTTTAATTTTATTAATTAGTTCTAAAATTTTAATCCTTATTTGCATTTTCCAGGGGCATAAACTTTGGGAGATAAGTGCATGGAAGTCTTTTTCAGGTATATTTTTTCTTAGACTGAATGAAAAAAAGACAAAACTGTATAGGTAAAAAAAAAGAAAAAAATGCACAAAAAAAGAAAAATTGTATAGGTATGAGGCCTCTGAAGGACTCAAAATGGAGGAAACTAGGCTTGGTTACAGAAGATATGGAATAAATTAACCGACAAAAACTTGCGTGCCGTTTGCGCTTTTCTCTCAAAGTGTTTACCGCTTGTAAACCCAAATAAAGGTTAAAATTAAAAAACTAATTCATAAAATTAAGAGAGCTTTCACATTACTCGGTACGATATCGGATCGACATTTCTGTTTTTTACCGAGAGTATACCGATAGCTCATCGACCACGTGTATTTCAATTGACATTGTCTAAGCGATTCAACATTGCTCAAGGAAAATCGCTCGTGCAAATGGTGATTCAAAAATCGCTTGCCTCAAAGTAGATAGCAAGTCAACTTTTCCATGCGATTATCGCCTGTTAAAAAATCGCCTCGTCTGAAGGCAGCTTTAGTGTCGCATACATGAAATCGGAGCGGATTCATTTCGGCATACCGCACTTCAGGAAGACCAGTCAGTAAAATCTGAAAATTTACTGCACACATTTTGGCAGCGTACTAAAACAAGAAGAAGAAAGTAAGAATTAAATTTAATAAAATAAATATAACAAGCCATAACGTCTTTGTGTTCGCTAGAGGGTATTTTTGTTAAATGATTTAAGAAATTTCCAAATTTAATTTCATGAATTGCGGCTTTTGTTTTGATTTTTTTTCTGTGAATTTCATACCGAAAGTATTCCGACAAGTGTGCAAATCAGCGCAACGCGGAATTGTTTCCGTAAGCTGAAAATACCGAGGAAATAATGTCGATCCGATACAGTGTTGCCACAGACTAATATTTTTCCTACTAAAATCCACCAATACCAATCAAACCTTTTTTCGAGTTTTTAATATTTTTGTTCGATGTCAAGTTTATTAAAAATTTAGATAACATAACATTTAGTAAAACTAAGACACAGCTAGCAGGGCTGCCAACTATGTTTAGCTATGAAGTGTCATATTAAGGATAAAAAAGTGCCAAAATGTGCCAAATAGAAAAATAAAAGTGGCAAAAGAGGTGTCAATCTTTTTAGTTGCTCCCATTTACCATTAAGATTAGAAACGCATTCCTAAAACAAAAGTGCAATACCAACCAGTTGTATACACTATGGAAATGAGAAAATTTTAGTTGAGAAAAAAGTCCACGCAAAGGAGTTCACAAAAACGCATTGAAACAATACTATTTTTCAAAAGTGCCATTTTGGCACTTTGTACGAAATTAAAAAATTAAGTGCCATTTGAAGTAAAATAGGGCTCTACCAGCCCACAAAACGTACAGTCCGTCTCTACAGAAAGCCCCATTTGATGACCAATTGTACCCCAACTTGCAGTGTGCTGTCAATTTGCCAGTAAGAGTTCCAAGTGCAAGGAGTCTTTCAGAGTTCCTCCTGGGAGGAGTTATGAATCACTTTGTCTTCATGGGCGTAGCCAGGTAGGAGTAGTGGGTGTTCGAGCTTTCCCCTCTAACTTTCAAATTTTCCATATATATATATATAGTATATATATATAACAGTACCCTGAAATACCAGTTTGATAGGGTTGATGGAGATACATATTTTATATTAAGTAACTATTACTCATTGTCACGAAATCTACCAAAATCTAATCTAGCCTACAAACCTACCAAATGGAAGAAAAACCTACCAGTTTTGGTAGGAAAAGCTAATGTGTGGCAACACTAGACAGTGGGAATGTGACTTTTGGTCTTTTATGAATTTGCAATAGCCGTTGGTACCAGGAAATGGTTGACCAGATATAAATCTGGGTCGTTCCGGTTACGTGATGCCGAAATTTATTGTTAATTTTTGAGTATAATTGAATTATGATTTTGAGTTTATGCGGCCATTTTAAGGCAAACGAAAAATTAGTGGGATTCATGAAACGACGCAAAGTTGTTGCAAATGTCTGATTTGTTGCAAAATATTATTACTTTTGTATGGAAACTCTCCTGCGACAAATTTTTCGTAATATTTGAGCTGGCAATCATTGCAAACTCAAAGTCGAGAAACACATGCTATTTTATTGTCCTCGAATAGTTCAAGAAAAAGTATATTAGGTAAGGCTGCTTCGAAATATAATTGTAAAAACTTTTATTTTTCACCTACGCGTGGCATTTTTTTTTAATTTTACAATTCTAATCCGGAGTTGCGATAGGTCGTTCATACAACTTTGTTTGCAACGTTGTCATTTCCCCAAAAATGCCACTTGACAAGTTGACCAACCTGCCTCAAAAATCAAAAATTTTTGATTTTTCTCCAACCTGACGAACCACTTGACGAAGGTTTGTCAGCTTGCCTACACACGGCTTATTTACCACCACCTTTTAGCGGTTGGCCAACTGGTTGGCCGATAAATCGATCCATGTGTAGGGCCTTTAAGGCAAAGAACAAAGTGACGCGACAAAGAGAGCGACAACAACAAACTTTTAATTTTCAATGTGGCAGCACATAGTGAAGCGAAAAGCGAAGAAAGCGACAAAGAGCATAGCGAAGAAAACAAAAAAAATGCGTTTTCCTTGCTTTCTGAGCTGACGGTTGCTTCACTATGTTTCGACATTTCTTGTGTCTTACTTCGATATTATCCGAAAATGTATTGTCGCTCTCTTTGTCGCGCCACTATGTTCTTTGCCTAATAGTTGAAATACAATGCCGGCGAACGGCGAACTCACCACAGCGAAATACGGGCTGTCAAAATTAGAGCACTCGCAAGCATATGATATTTGATCACAGCCAAAGCGAAAAGCGAAGTTCGCTCGGCGGCGTTTTATGACGATAGAGTTATTTCTATCGCCCTGAGGGGCGATGACAGCTGTAAGTGCCAAAGGTGTTCGCATTTCTTTTTTGCTTCCAAAGTTTTAGAAGAAAACCACATAACGACGAATTATTTTTGTTGTTTGAAAAATATAGTTGTGGATATAGCTTGAAATAAAATAATTTATAATATCTCTCTTTGTTTTACATTTATATTTGTTAACATTTCCTCATTCTAAATATAGTTTAGTTTTTTTCTAAATATGGCCACCCAAATTATAAAGGCGACCAAATGGTATCAGCTGTTTTCGTACCGCTCTAATTTTCTTTAAGTAAGCGAAATAGCTGGGTAAACGGTGAACGTCAGCATCGCCCAAATCAGCGAAGTTTGCTGTTCGCCGGTGTTATATTTAAACCATAATTCGAAAAAACTCGATTGTAGTAGCTTCGATTAATCGATGTGCAATGTAATTCGAAACGGTCTCTCTATAGACGTATTTAAGGCGCCTGTTACACCATCAATACGGATCTTGCCGTGTAGCATTGATGAACCGCGATCAATATCACAAAATTTCTAAATATTGCCAATGAACGTAGATAATAAGAAGGGACAACTCTTTATAATTGTAGCGAAAGTGCGCAAGAGGGGCGTGCTTTCTTTTTTACCCTAGTACGTTTTTCGATTGGATGAAAAGAAAGGGCACGCTCCTGTTGCGCACTTTCGCTACAACTATAACGAGTTGTCCCTTCTTATTATCTACGTTCTTTGATATTGTGGCGATCACTGCGGCAACGCGATGCGAACAACAAGAAACGTAGAATATTCGACAACAAGAAACGTCAAGTGGAATACTGCGAACAGCGAGAGAATGAGAGAAAGGGCGATAGATTGCAGAACGTTCTAGAGTTTCCATGAGTGCGAGCGCAGGTATATAAGGCCGCTGCACAGCGTACCACAAGTCCAGTTGCGTATCAGCAA